ACGTGGTCTGACGACGATACGGTATCCTTCGCCACTTAACATTCTAATTAATATAATTTAATAACTATAATCATATTTCATTAATGTATATATTTTTTTTAAATTTCAAATCGTACAATAAATTTGAATGCTAGAATTCTAAAATTACCTCTCCGCCGTAGACTTTTGAACTATACTATAGGTCTACGTTTTAATAGTTTGAAGTAATAAAATGGATTTAAGGAATCCGGAGATAGAACTATCATGCGAAGTATGGCAAAATCATAAAAGCCGTCAACGGAACTCGTAAAGTTATGTAAAAAGCATTCATTTCAACTTTTTTAACGATTTCTTTTACAATAGCATATTGACTTATTACTGTATTCTTATGACATTTTTACCACATAGTTTAATCGAAAACTTATCATTACTGTTCGTGTTGGTCTCATTTGTGTGGAACTTCCACTTCTGTCAAGAGATGGTTAATATATTCCGATGCGCCGACGTAGATACAGCCATTCTCACCAAAACAAAATTGTATTAAGATAAATGTGTGATTTATATTATAATGTGACACTGTGACTATGGTAAACTTTGATGTATGCAGACCTATACATCATCGAGCCTAGCCAGTTATAAAAAAAAAAGCCACAATTAATACACTGTCGTAGTTTAACGTAATCTTTTTGAGCAATGATGACGATGATGGTGAGTATAATGATTATTTTGATGAGGATTATGATGAGGATGATGGTGATAATGATGATGAGGATAATAATAATAATAATAACAACAACAACAAAAACAACAACAATAATAATAATAATAATAATAATAATAATAATAATAATAATAATAATAATAATAATAATAATGTCAATCTTACGTAGCACCATATTCGCAAAAATATTGTTTTATCCTTGAAAATACGCTTCGCCTAATAAGTTAATGCACGCAATTGCTTATAAAAACTAAAACAACTCAAGGAAGAATATTAACGTCTACTATACGACTTGAAATGTAATAATTTCTAGAGCTTTGGAAGTATATTACCATACAAGTTTCTTTATGAATTTTGAATTTGATTTGTGAATCACCGACGAAAATATTCGTGTCAGGCATCAAAATTGATTTGACAAAAAGTCAATACTTACGGAAATTACCAGCAGATACGGAGCGAAAAAATGTTCAACTGACGTTTGATTAAATGATGTTCAATGAATCCGAGCCGCAATCACGTATATCGGTATAAGAAGGCCGGTTTATGGGGTGATGTAAATTTCTTTACAGCATAAACATAAAGGTAGAATTCAGACGCTTCTTTTAGAAGGGAATATAACAACATATACTTCGCATGCATAAAATAAAATATGCCTCGCATGCAATAGTATGAGTGGGTGATTAATCCGTGTTTTGATTTCATATACCACGTAACAAATGTCAGTATGGATTAATAGTCCTAATTAACGTTGAGGTTTTCAAAGCTCGCGGGGAAAATAATGCGCGGCTGGATAATGAATGACCGGCCCTACGGTGAAATTAATGAATTATTTAGAAAATTAACTAAAGCTTTTATATAAATTTTATGGAGTAAACGTTAAGTTTGAGGCGTGAATGAGGCTCATATCATTGGCATGGAGTACCGGAAAGTATACAGTAGTCCGACACGCATAGCAGCATGCATTCAGCCAGTTTCTCTATTGCTCAATAAAGACTAATACACGTATTGTTTTATGGTCCCACATAGTCGAATAAACTCCGTACCTCGGCTTAAAGAAATCTAACTTCTCATGGGATACACCCAATCTTACATCAAAAGTCAGCTTTTGGTTTAGTTAAACGTAACTGTATGATTTCCCAAAAGAAACAAAAGCATTAGATTTGCGCCGGTAAAATGCATGCTTATGATTAAATTAACTTTACTAAGTGGTTAGTGTTATTCTAATAGGCCTATCGAAATTATAAGATAAAAGCACTTGATTGTGTAGCAAAGTGGCTCATTTGTAAGTTCGAAACAGGTATTTACTTTGACTATTATATTGTATTATCTCACACGGAGCCGAGTTAAGTTTGATTTCCATAGAATGGCTACACAGTCGGTACAGTGTTTTCACTGCAATCTTTGCACTGAGTAGGTGTCCCCGACGCAATTGGGAACGCTCGTTGATTCAACTGACCAATCAGCGTCGCCAAAGGAGTCGGTGATATCGTGTAGTGATATTTGCTTAAATCACGAATATGATTGCATACGTTTAACCATAACGAAAACGACGAGCCTACTCGCTGTTTGCTAAGAAAGAAATTAAACATGTAATGAACACAAAGATATTGAAACCGCATCTGCAGTCTATGAAAGAAACGCAGTGATGAAGCTAATTCTGCAAACTATAGGGATAAGGCAGAAGGATTATAATTGCCAAAAATGTGAAGACGCATGTTCTAGAAACATTACCTACAAATTAAGACACTAAACCTTCCGTCGTGAAACTACCAATATTTCCAGATTTAGACCTTGCCATATGTCTTTTATAACTGAATAAATAAAATAAATTAATAAAATATACGATAAATACTATCGTATGCATATGACTTAAAGTCGGTCAGATAAATTTACTTATGTGGTCTTTCCAGTCAAATGTATTTATTCTTATATTACACTGTTTTATTTATAAGAGTGATGTTTTGCCCTACATGACGTGTTATCGTACTGAGTACTTAGACGTTCATACTTCCGTAAAGCATCTCGCAAGTGATTCGGGTGGGAACCGAATCAATAACCTCCAGCTAGCCTGGTGTCATAACCACTAAACCACCGAGCTTGCGCTTAGAGTGTCTTGAATCTGATCCTCGAATAGCAGCGGGTATTGCTATACTAGTATTTCGATATATTTCGATATATTATTTATAGAATTAGAAACAATTCTTGGGCAAAAATTAGCATTATTTTATTTTTATTTTTTATTTAAAACATCGCATTATAACATATACAGGCGAGATTTACAATATGGTCCTGCAAACACATAGTACAATAACAACAACAAAAAGAAACCAGCACAGTACAACAAAAAAAAAACAAAAAAAAAACTACAGTTAAAACTTTGGTGGAAAACTATCCCCCGCCGGACACCAACCCGGTACTTCTGATTCAAGGTTTCTGGGCCAGGAATTACGGCTCAAGGTTATGCTTAACTACAACTTAACTAAAATATGGTAAAAACTATCCCCCGCCGGACACCAACCCTGTATTTCTGAGAATTATGGTCCAAGTTGAAGTTTATCTTTATTATCATGTAAATGGTTTACATGAAATTCTTTTTCCAAGGTTGAACACATAAATGTTAAAATATGTACAGGATACAATTTATTAGTTAATGTAAATAATAATAATATAACGTACAGTACATAAACATTCCACTTATGTTTGATAATTGCAACTATCTCTTATGGATTTTTTTTTGTTTAGTCGGATAGCAGAGAGGAAAAATGAGTTGTTATGATAAGACGTTTTCTTTATTGACGGAATAATGCGACCTAACTTATTGTACATTTAATTTTCTGTTTGTGATGTTAGAATAAATATTTTCCATTTCTGGTACATCCAAATCTATTATCTTAGCGAACTTAGTGATTGTATGTAGTTCACCTGCTTTTTTCTTTGAATGGCTATTGTACGATAGAACACAACAGAAAGACAAAATGTACTGATTCATGGCCTGATGAAAAAGGAATAATGTATCAAAACCGACATTGGAACACCTTAATTTTTTAAGAAGCAGAGTTTTGGTTAGCTTTTAATACAACTTTTCTCAGTATACCAGGGCACTACTCAGGCATTGACTACGAAGGAAATAATCCTTATTCAGTCAGTACGAAACAATCACAAGTAACAAAAGAATCGAACGTGTTGCTAAGTGTCGCAACAACAAGAAAACACCAAACAGTTATAAAACAATAAAGAAGACAGATCGTTCAATTCGATAGTATAATAC